GCTTAGATGACTTACTCTTAGTTTGTATTTTATTTATTAACCATATTGCAGGATCTCTTTTTTTTTTTTTTTTTTTTTTTTTTTTTTTTTTTTTTTTTTTTTTCGAGACAGGGTTTCTCTGTGTAGCTTTGCACCTTTCCTGGAACTCACTTGGTAGCCCAGGCTGGCCTCGAACTCACAGAGATCCCGCCTGGCTCTGCCTCCCGAGTGCTGGGATTAAAGGCGTGCGCCACCACCGCCCGGCTGCAGGATCTCTTTTACATAGTACCTATGAGGTTCTGATCAGGTATTTTTCTGAAGTGGAAGCCTCAATAGGGAATCTTGGAAAAAGCAGATGCTTCACAGATTTGAGTTGCCTTGTAGTGATGCCTATGTTCTTTTTCCATATCAGCTTTCTGTCAGGCTCTTTTCTTGACACATACAAAGAGACCCAAGGACAACCCCTGTCTTCAGAAACACCTCCTTTGAGAATGAGTCTCATTGGCCTGGAATGCACCATTTTTGCTAGAATGACTGGCCCTGGAGCTCCAGGAATCCTCCTTTCTTCATTTCTCAGTGCTGGAATAACAAGTACTCCCCTACACTTGGCTTTTTATGTGTGTGAGGGATTGAACTAGGTCTTCATGCTTGCAGAAGTGAGCCATCTCCATCATGTTTAAATATTTTAATTCAAACCCATAATATAAAGTGTAAATTCATAATTGGATAGTTGCAATTTTATTAGCATTTTTTGCCACTTAGAATTTGAACTCAAGGTTTTGCATCTGGTAGTTAGGCATGAGATCTACCATTTGAATGAAAAAAGAAATAAAAAAGGAAGGACATGAATGCTCCTAGGCATGGTGGAGAAGGTTTATTGTAGATAAAAGAGAGAGCATAACCAGAGGCAGGAACATCTGGGAGAGTGAGGAGAAGGGGTGAGGGGAGAGCCAGGACGGTAAAGGATAGACAAGGAGTGAGTACAGGGTGGAAGGCAGGGGACCAACATGGCTGGATTATGTAGAGAAGGGCAGCCCAGCCCCTGGGCTGGAGAAATTTAGGGTAGTGGGGCTGGGGAAATTTAGGGTAGTGGGGCTGGGGTATGCCAGCCATATCCTGTAACAGGTTGGGACTGAGGGATGCAGGGAGAACCTGGCAGCCAGGTCCATTTGATATGTTAAATGGGCACCTCAGTTAGCCATTTGTCTGGAGTTTGAGACCTAACATCCCCTCCAGTCTCTTTGTTGCTAATCAGTGATAAGGGGGACACAATCTTTTCTGTGACTACTTCCTGCTGACATTGGGGTGTTGGGGACCCAAGACAGTTGGAATATTGGCCAAGGCCAGGAAGAGCAGGGTGCTTCACTTGCTGTCCAGGCTCTATGGGATCATCTGGGGCTAAGGAAGTGCAGGCCGCATTGGAGCAGTCTGTGAGGCTGGACCATCAGGGGCCAGCTGCTTTGGAGCTGTCTAGGATGCAGAGGCTCAGGCTGGTTGGAAAGTCCGTCTGAATGAAGCACACGGGGCTGGTGAGTTTGGAGTAGTTTGCAGTATTTAGGTGATTGGAGATCTGCTGAAACAGATAAAATAGGTTAGGGACAGAAGGTAAAGTTAAGAATTTTAGGGGGAATTTTTAAAAATAATTTATTTTTATTTTATGAGTATTGGTTGGTGTTTTGCCTGCATGTATGTCTGTGTGAGGGTGTCAGATCCTCTGGATCTGGAGTTACAGACAGTTGTAAGCTGCTATGTCGGTGCTGGGAATTGAACTTGTGTCCTCTGGAAGATCAGCCAGTGCTCTTAACTGCTGAGCCATCTCTCCAGCCCCTAGGGGAAAATTTTTTATCTAGGGTGTACATTTGAAACTTTCAGACCCATGGTCCTGGTAGTTGGAGGACTGGATTCCCAAGACGGGAGGGGGGGGGGGGGATCGAGAGATCCCACTCTCAGGAATAGGCAGGTAGAGGGAATTAAGGAGTACTTGAGTCTGTTTGGCCTGCAAGTGGTGGATTCGATTCTATTCCCTGAAGCCATTACCTAGATGGTTGCCCTAGGCTCCTGTGGTCTCAGTGTTCGTAGGTCTTTGTCATTTAGGACAGCATTTAATCTGTAGCTGCCACATAGAGCAGGCTTGGCCAGACCCAGGTCTGAGAGATGTTCCTGTGGAGAAGGACTTGGGGGATGACCTCACTTTGACCAGGCAGAGTAGAGCAGTTAACCCAGAAGTGTCCCTGGCAGCATCAAAATAAAAATTAAGCCATAAATACAGCCCATAGGGAGACTGGGAACTTTTCTGATCCTATATACTATAAAAGTGCACTGTTATAGAATATCAGTTTTTTGTATGACTTAGTTTATCCAGATAGCTAAAGCTTAACAAGGTGAGCATAGACAAAGAAGCTAGACAGATATTACTGTGATCCTGAGTAGACCTTAGGAATTTATAAACCTTATTTGTCAAATACACCTTATTTATCAAACATATGTTGTTACTTACCTAAATTTTCTAGAAGCCTGGGGTTGAACAGTTAGCAAAGACATAAGTAGTTAGGTATAAACCTCTAAGTCAGCTTTTGTTAATCTGAGTAGACCTTTATAACCTTAAAGTTTTATCATCATGATCCATACCAATCCACAATATTTTGGAGACCTGTTATTTCATTAGAAAGCAGAAGGCTCAATAGGACTAAAAAGTTATATAGGTGTTGCCTTAGTTGGTTTATACTATGTGGTCATCATAAGATGGTGGATAAGTCCCCTGGCATGTACTTTTTAACCTTAGTAAAATGGATGCCAGCCACATAGCTGTTACTTAAAGATTTATTTATTTATTATGTATACAGTGTTCTGTCTGCATGTATGCCTGAAGGCCAGAAGAGGGAACCAGATCTCATTACAGATGGTTGTGAGCCACCATGTGGTTGCTGGGAATTGAACTCAGGTCCTCTGGAAGACCAGCTAGTTAGTTCTCTTAACCGCTGAGCCATCTCTCCAGCCCTTAAACATTTTTTTTTTTTTAAGATCTCTTTTTTTTAAACAGGAATTGAATCCAACTGGTCAGTGATGGTGCACACCCTTAATCCCAGTACTCGGGAAGCAGAGGCAGGTGGATCTCTGTGAGTTCCAGGACAGCCAAGGCTACACAGAGAAACCTTCTGTCTCAAAAAACAAAACAAACCAAACAAAAAAACCCCCCCCAAAAATCAAAACAAATTGAATTGAATCCAAGTTGCATATACAGTATATTCTAAACAAGAGTTGAATCACACACACACACACACACACACATATATATATAGTAAGTTGTAGCAAATTAAGATTGCCTATGTATAGATTTTTAATTACAAGCCTTTTGTTAAAAGTTTAAAGCCAAGTTTTGTTACAGATTTATAGGTTTCTTTTTTTTTTTTTTTAACTATACCCAAAGAACTTACAAATCCTGAGATAGGATTTACAGCATAGTTTTAAGAGATTTTTTTTGAGAGCAGAGCAAAGAGAAGTTATAGAGATAAAGGTTTTTAAGAGTAGGAAGTAGAAGGGTAGAACAGAGCTAGTTTAGATATAAGAGATTTGGGGATCAGTTGTTTATGCTGTGGCAGATGTTAAGATTGGTGAGAATTTGGAAATCAAGTGTGCCAGGTTTTGGCCATTGATCTGTACTGAGGCCAAGCTGTTTATAGTCGGAGGACAGGAGGGTGGTGGATGTTGAAAACTGAAACTTCTCTGGAGGAAATTTCTGTCAGCTCCAAGAGGAGCTGAGAGAGCGAGTAGTGGCCCAGAGGGGCTCGGGCTTAGAGGGTTTAGAGACTGTGCGGGAGGAGGAGAGGCCTGTGAGGACTTAAGGAAGAGACAGAGCAGGCAGCTCAAGAGGGGAGAGGCAACTTTAGGAGGGAGCTGAGAGCAGAAGCTGTGGACTGTAGACGGGAGCTGAGAGATAGCAGGTAGGACTGAACGAAGTTCCTAGGGGGAGGCGGGAGAAAGCTAGCTGAGCTGAGGTGGATAAAGAGTCTTTGTGACAAGAATTTCCATCCAGGGCATCCTCAGGGGAACGGGAAACTTGTCAAAGAGAAGAGTGTTCCAAATCACGAGGAAAGATGTCCCTTCCCACGTGACTGGGGCCCAAGTAGGGCGAGAGGAGCTTTCTGGCACACTGGTGTGGCTTTTGTAGTAATTGTTATGATACAGCATGCGGGAGGCCTTGGTGGGTAGAGCCAAGGTGGCCATGGCAGGTGAGAGATGGAGATGCCATGCAGACAGCGCTCAGTGAAGAGTTTGATTTGGTGGGGGGAAGAGAGAGGGGAGAGAGAGGGTGAGAGCGAGGGGGGAGGAGGGGTTTTCTTTTTTAAGGGGACTTTACATCAGGACACAGGGCAGCCTCAAGGGGCGGGTCAGAATACTAACAGTAATAGTAGACAAAGCAGGCAGCTTGGGGTGGCACTTACCTGGTAGAGAGATGAGAGAGCAGGGAGAAGGGAGACCCAGGTGGATGTGGCAGGCCAGAGCTGAGAGGTGTTGAGGCGAGTGCCCAGGTGGGTGGGTGCCCATCCCAAGGCTGTCGAAGGCTCTAGGAGTCTGAGATTCATTTCTGGCGTAGACAAGGAGAGGCATGGTTAGAGCATGTGGGGTTGGGGGAGAAGTAGGGAGAAGGCAGACTGTAGATGTGGGGTCAAATTTGATGGGTGACAGGAGTCAGCGGAAACAAATGATCCCTACTTAGGAGAGTCAGGTCAGCAGCCTGGTTCAGAGCAGCCGAGTTCCTTGGAAGGGAGCTCATGTATGCTAGTCCCGGCTTTTGGTACCAGATGAGTGAAAATAAAGAAATAAAAGGAAGGACATGACTGCTCCTAGGTATGGTGGAGGAGAAGGTTTATTGTAGGTAAAAGGGGGAGCATAGACCAGAGGCAGGAACATCTGGGAGAGTCCAGAGTGAACATGACCCTGAGCCTGGCCTTGTAAAGGAAGGGGAGAGCCAGGAGAGTAAAGAGTAGACAGAGTAGAGTGATTGGTGGGAGGGGGCGGGGAGAAGGTGGGGAGTAACCAAAATGACTGGATTATATAGGGAAGTGCAGCTCAGCCCCTGGGCTGGAGAAATTTAGAGAAGGGGATGGAGTATACCAGCCATACCCTGTAACAGGTAGGGATTGTGGGATACAGGGAGAACCTGGCAGCCAGGTGCCACTAAGTAGGCACCTCAGCCATCCAATTGTTCTGGGTTTGTTCTCACACCATTGATCTATACCCTCATCATTATAGCTTTATAGTAAACATGTAATTTCTTAGAAGAATTTTAGGGAATTAAGAAGAGGTGAATAGTCTTTGCATTCTTTCGTTTTTTCCTCTAAATAAAGAATGCAGGGCTTGGAGAGATGGCTCAACAGATAAGAACACTTGCTGCTCTTGCAGTGGATTGTTTTCCAGCACCCACATGGTGGTTCACAACGCTCCAAACTCCAGTTCTAGGGGATCCTGTGCCCTCTACTGGCCTCTGCTGGCACCATGCATGCAGGTAGTGTACATATACACACACGCAGGCAAAACACTGATACACGTTAACACATGTGTACGAGCTGCAGACAGAGCTCAGTTGCTGGAGTGCTTGCTTAGTGTTTGCAAAGGCATGGCACCACGTAAAAGTAGGTGTGGTGCTGAGCGGTCCCAGTACTCACTAGAAAGAAGGTGGTGGAAGATGGATGATCAAAAGTTCAAGGTCATTTTCAGGCTCTTAAAGTTCAGTGGCAGTCTAGGATTAATGAATGAGTGAGTCCTGACTCGACAAAGAAACCCCCAAAACAACAACAAAAAACCCCAACCATGGCTAAATGCCCTGAAACTATTAAGAGAAAATTAAAGGCATTAATTAATACTGTTTTCTTCCATGTAGATAATAGCTATTTAAGCTTTCTGCCAAAAATGGGCTTGGTGTACAATTTAGAAAGTGCAGGTTGTATTTCTGTTCTTAAAGATGTTTATTGTAGTCTAGTATTAAAGTTAGGTGGAAGTAATTGAATACAGTAAAGGTGGGCAAGTGATTGGAGAGTTGAAGTTGCTGAAAGTGGGTAAAACCCATTGTATTGGAGGCACTCACTGCCAGTTTTTGGTTGTATTTGAAGGTTGTCCTAAAGCATGATGTAATGCCAGCGGAAACCTTTGAAGCTTCAGCTGACACCATCCAGGTCTGAAGTGCATAGGACTTTATGGGGCAAGGGTAATGCTTGTTTAAAAATAAGGCAAGCTACTCCAGATTAATGAGGCCAGTTAAGAAAGCTTTCCCAGAGTGGGATGAGAATATAATCTCAATTCGGAGGTAGAAGTAGAGTCTTATGTGTCCTGAGTGTGTTTACGATTCTTACTGCACTGGAAGGGGGCGTTTGAAATATGCTGGCACACAGTGGCAGAGTTAGAAGTGAGGAAAATAGTAGCTGAGGCCTGTAAGTATTGAGTGAGTTGGGGAGAATGTCTTTCATTCCATGCAAACTTGAGAATTCATAGGATGAAGTTGGCTTTAGGAGTGCTTGCCTGGCTGCACATTTGCCTTAGTCCCTGTATGTTTCCTACCCTGGAGCCTTAAGAAAGCACTGAGATCCTGATTTCTGGAAACATGTTCTACCAGACTTCAGTGCTGCCAAGTGCACAGGCTTCATGTTGCGGGTGGCGCCTGCCAGAGCTGCTCAGGTGGTCTGTGGGGCGGGGCTTGGGGCAAAGTCCGCCCCTTCACTAGGCCTGCCAGGTGTTAGAGCCTAAGCAGCAGGACACCAGAGCCGCATGCTGCCTTCTGCTGACCACCCAGTTTAGAGTTCATTGGAGGTGTTGTCCCTCCTGGGGACAGGCCACCCTTGAGCTACTTTAAGACTGAATGGAAGTGAGCAGCCTTCTATGCTTAGGAGCCAAGGGCCCACGAGGGTCCTCTGGTGCAGGCTGGCTTTGTGGATTGCAGGAACCTGACGCCTCGCTTCTCATGACCTGGAAGCTGCCTGCACCCTTTCTGCATTCCTGGAAGGGAGTCCTGCTCACATGCTTGCCAACAGTTAGGACCAGGACCAGGAAGAGGAAAGGTACGGGCATAAAAGCATCTGTTCTCAAGACAGAAACTGGACTGTGTGAATCCGTAGATTCTGGTTTAGGCCACACGGCTGTGTCTGGCTGTGGGGTGGGCAGTGAGGGTTCACTGGAGCTTCAGCAACTCCAGGTTTAAATCTAGCTTCAGGTGTGCCACGACTTCTGCAGACTTGTCCTTGGTTTCTACCTTGGGCTGCTGCCTGGTCGGAGAGTCTTTGTGACTCAAGATGGAGCCACATTCCACCCTTCTAACTTGGGAATGGTGTAGCAGTTTTCTGTACTTCCAGCCACATTTTGTTTATCATGCCAGTAGAAATCAGTGTGCTTTCTCCAATGTTTAGAAGGTAATAAAAATACGTTGTAACATGACCTGAACTTACGCTGATAAGTTAGAGGAATTTTGCCAGGTCAAAGCACCGGGCTAGTGTTTTTCTTCTGAACTTGGCTATATTGTGTTTAAATATAAACTGAGCTAGCTCTTTGATGTGACTGAGGCTGGTTTCAAGGAATCACTTTCCAATTACTGTGTTCCTTTAAGTGAGCCACACTTACCATGGTGGAGTAGGTGGGAAACTGATGGCTTTGGTAATGCCAAGCCCATTGTTTTACAAGTGATCTAAAATGCATAAATCATCTGCATAAAGAATTTGCTCAGATGGAAAGTAGATTACAGAGTGCCCTTTTTATTGTGACACCTGGATCACAGGGCTTCAGATGATGAGAGTTGATTCATGTTATATTCTTCCATAGCAGAGCCGTTGTGATGAGTTTTGTTATACTTTATGTATGTGTTGGAGATGAAACCCGAGGAACATGGGCAAGCTAAACATTTGTTAGTCTTTTTTGTCCTTTGAACTTAAGAGTATGCTTTAGTAACAAAAGATAAAAAATTAAACCTCCAATGCTGCTCTTAGCTCCCTTATTTATAATGTCTACTGTCTACTGCAATCCAGAAATCCGTTTGTATTGACTTGGTTACATTTATAACTATGGTTGTTTTTGAAACTTAAAAGGTCTTTACAACAGGACGGTTATAACTAGGAGGAATTACTATATTAAGTATTTAGTCTCAGAGAGTACACTGTTAGGACATTGATCTTTTGTCAGCTTCTGAGATCAATTATGACCTGCCATATCCCTCAGAGGCAGAGTCCTGGGGAAAGGAGCTTATTGTGCTTGATGCTCACTCGCTGGTCCTTTCCAGATGACCGAAATCGTGTGTATAGTTGGTGTGTGCTGCAGCCGCACAAGGGAACTGAAGGGGGCAGAGAGTTCTTTGCTTGTGGAGTCTGCCCCTCATCCCCATCCAGTGTTTGTGTTTCTGTGGTGCTTTTACCCTTATTTCCTCCTATCTTTTGCTGAGTTCCCCTTCCCCTTGTACGTTATATGAGATTTGTGCTGCAGAATGGAAGCAGAACAAGGACTTTCTTAAATACCAGAGCGATCACTCACTGAAGGATGCCTCTCTACTTCTCCCTGTTTCTCCAGCCTGGAGGTGGGCACTGATTGACAGGAAACAAAATGATGCTTAGCTGATTCAAATGAAGACCTAGTAGATAGCTGCAGGTGGATAACGGGATGATAGCTCTTCCTTTCCCTCGGCCCTCTGAGCCCCATTCCCAGAACACACCTCTCCAGAAGATGCTGTTCACTGCTGGGAAGAGTTGGTCTGGCTCTGATAGTCTTTGGCATATGAAGTACATAGGACTCAAGCTGTAGGTCCTGAAGCTGTGAGAGTTAACTCAGACCTGAGAAGAAGTAGACAGAGAGGGAGACTCTGAGGAGAAAAAGTCAGGCCAAATAAGTCTTCTGTTGTATTTAAGGTCGTCTTCTTTTAAAGAAGATTTATTTCCATTTTATGTGTATGGGTGTTTTGCCTGCATGTATGTCTGTGCACCACATGTATGCAGTGCCTTGGAGGCCTCTCTTGAACTTCCATTTGGGTACTAGGATTTGAACCCTGGTCCCCTGGAAGAGCAACCAGTGTTCTTAACTGTTGGGGCATCTCTCCAGCCTTGTATTTGTTCTTTTTTTTCTTTCTTTCTTTTTATTTTTTCCCCAAAATGGGATTTTTCTGTTTAGCCCTGGCCGTTTTGGAACTTTCTCTATAGATCAGGCTGGCCTCAAACTCAGAAATCCATGTGCTTCTGCCTCCTGAGTGCTGGGCTTAAAGGTGTGCATCACACTGCCTGGTTACATTTACACTTTTTGTTTGTTTGTTTGCTTGTTTTGTGTGTGTGTTTTGTTTTGTTTTGAGACAGGGTTCTTCTGTGTAGCCCTGGCTGTCCTGGAACTCAGGCTGGCCTCAAACTCACTGAGACCCATATAACTCTTGTTTCCCAAGTGCTGGGATTAAAGGTGTGTGCCACTGCTGCCCGGTTGCGATTCTTATGTAGTCTACCCGAAGATTTTCAGTACTTGTTTTAAACAGCAAGGTATTTTAAGTGTGCTATAGAACATTTTGGAAATATGGTTTACTTATTATATAACTCTAATAAAACTCACCTTTAACATTAATTTTTATTTGTATATAGTTTTAAAACCATATTTATTTAACTTTATTCTTTTGCTCATGATAATTTTGTGGGATATTTTACAAGTGTTTATGACATATATACATTATTTATGAATGTGTTAAAGTTATAACTTTTTCTCCTGCCTCCTTTTATTTTCTTGTGTTTTATTACAGAAATGAGCCGTCAGACTGCTACAGCATTACCCACTGGCACCTCAAAGTGTCCGCCATCCCAGAGGGTACCTGCCCTGACTGGCACAACTGCATCCAACAATGACTTGGCGAGTCTTTTTGAGTGTCCTGTGTGCTTTGACTATGTGTTGCCACCCATTCTTCAGTGTCAGAGTGGCCATCTTGTTTGTAGCAACTGTCGCCCCAAACTCACATGTTGTCCGACCTGCCGGGGCCCATTGGGATCCATTCGCAACTTGGCTATGGAGAAAGTGGCCAATTCAGTACTTTTCCCTTGTAAATATGCCTCTTCTGGATGTGAAATAACTCTGCCGCACACAGAAAAGGCAGAGCATGAGGAGCTCTGTGAGTTCAGGCCTTACTCCTGCCCCTGCCCTGGTGCTTCCTGTAAGTGGCAAGGCTCCTTGGATGCTGTCATGCCCCACCTGATGCATCAGCACAAGTCTATTACAACCCTGCAAGGAGAAGACATAGTTTTCCTTGCTACAGACATTAACCTTCCTGGTGCTGTTGACTGGGTGATGATGCAGTCTTGTTTTGGCTTTCATTTCATGTTAGTCTTGGAGAAACAGGAAAAGTATGATGGTCACCAGCAGTTCTTCGCAATTGTACAGCTGATAGGAACACGCAAGCAAGCTGAAAATTTTGCTTATCGACTTGAGTTAAATGGTCATAGGCGGCGATTGACTTGGGAAGCGACTCCTCGATCTATTCATGAGGGAATTGCAACAGCCATTATGAATAGTGACTGCCTAGTGTTTGACACCAGCATTGCACAGCTTTTTGCAGAAAATGGCAATTTAGGCATCAATGTAACTATTTCCATGTGTTGAAACGGCAATCAAATATTTCTGGCCAGTGTTTAAAATTTGCATTTGACTTCACAGAGAATAAGGCACCCATCTGCTTGCCAACCTAAAACTCTCCTGGTAGGTAGAAGCTAGACACATGAAGGTAAATAAAAAGAAAGGCTGTTAATACAGGAAACAGTTGCATGTAGTAACACTAATATATTTAAAAATAATTCAACAGTAAACCACTGAAAAAATATATATATACCCAAGATGGGCATCTTTTGTATTAAGAAAGGAAACATTGTAAAATATTTCTGAACTTTGTGTTTGTTGTAGATTGATTGTATTGTTGACAACAATTTTTTGGGGGGTGTGTGTCTGTGCACACATGCGTGCACGTGTGTGGTTGGTTTTCCTTTAACTGACAAGCCATCTGCGTGGTCATAGACCACTGCTTTCCCCTTGTGAGTCAATACATAGTGCTGCTGTGTTTTTTGTTTTGTTGGTTTTTTTTCTTTTTTTTGTGTGTGTGTATTTGCTAATTTTTATTCTAGTTTTTCATGAAATAAATTTGACTTTCTTTTCTGTAATTCAGGTTTTTCTCACTTTTGTACCTTTTAAGTTAGTGTCTTTTTGATATTCATAATTGCTTATGTCAAAAGTTTGTGTTCAGTACATACTTTCTTTTCCTTCAGTCAATTTATTAGAAATATTTTTAATTCAGCCCTTTTGTGAAAATAGGAATTCCAGAAAGGGAAGGTGATGTGAGAGCAGCTGTCACAGCTGCAGCAGGTGTAGGATGGTCTTGTCTGTGTGAGTCACACCGTCAGGCTTGCTCTTTGAAAGGTTAGGTTAGGGAGTAAACTCTGATTTATATGACTATTTAAAAATCAGGCTTTTCCTCTCTTCAAATGTCTTGGGCAAATCACATGTTTAAATTGGTTCTTGCATTTATTGGTTTTGCAAAAGAGTGCATCATCATACACAGTATTTGTAATTAAAGTAAATCATTTGTTTTTAAAAAAAGGCAGTTTGCAAAAAATGTTTTTGGTCTTTTATAATTCTCATTAAAAGATTATCTGGCAAATTAAAAAAAAATCTTAATGTGTTTACTTTAGCTCTAGGTTGGTTGGTTTTTTTTCCCCTGGAGCTGAGGACAGAACTGAGGCCTAGCACTTGCTAAGCAAGCACTCTACCACTGGGCGATATCCCCAGCCCCTGGCTCTAATAAATAGAGCTCTTTGATAAAGTCCAAAGGTATTTTCCTGTTCCAGTCTGTATTTTAGAGCAGAAGATTGTATGCCACCGTTTGAAGTGCATTAGTTTTATTCTGAAGCACAGAAAAGACTAGGCCCCCCCCACTCCTGTTTTGATTCCCAAAAGGACATTCGGAGTATGGCTAATTAATGCTGATCACAGTTTTCCTTTATAAAAAGTAAGTTGTTTTATTATTTCATACTTCCGGTGGTAGAGTCTTGACTATATAGCCTGATTGCCAAGTTCCTATGTACCAGTTTACCTTTACCCAACTTAGCCAGCTATCTGACCCTGGGCTCAGTTTCCTAATGTGTTAATTATGATGAGTATGTGAAGGGTTAAATGAGGAACTAGTACTTTAACCTGAAACAGTGCTTCATACAACATAAGCAGCTAGCCAGTGTGGGGCCCTGGATTTTGCCTTCAAGTGTCATGTTCCTAGTTACACTCAGGCACACAGCAGAAATCTGCCATTGATAATTTTGTGTTTTCCTAGTGGGTACCCCAAGCTTAGAAAGTCATTGAGGATTAATTTGCATTTCTCCTTTATCCTATTTCCAATTCTGGATTATGGAGCTTGGTTCTGTTAGCCATTTTCAGTACAGGTAAGCCTTCTAGTGAATTGGTTGTCATGTGCTTATAGAGCTATATTTGGGGTGAAAGGAATAGTTTAGCCACAGATTACAACTAGATTTTTATTTGCATGAAAATTTAGAAAAGCAGCTTATGTGTATGTTGAGACAAGGTCTTGCTAGCCCTGGGAAGGCCCTGAATCCTACATCTCACCTCAGTCCCTCAAATGCTATGATGACAGATAAGATGGCTGAAAAGCAACTGAGTATATGTCTGGGGGAATGCCATTTTTGGTTTCACTGTATTTTGCCCAGACTTTTAACATCTCAAACGGCATATCCAGTAGAAATCCATACTGTCCTCCATGAAGTGAGCTGACTAACATTTTTATTTTACTAGTTAAATGCATGTGCATGTTCTTATACACAACATTTTGAGAATGTTGATTGGTTATTTCTGTAACCCTTAACACATACATTGATCACCCTAGACTTCACCATTTTGATGGTCTTGGGAAGGCTGGTCATGGTTCATGCTTATAATCTCAGAGCTTGGAGGCCACGGCAGACTCAAGAGTTTGAGGTCAACCTGCTCTACACAGCAAGGCTTTGTCTCGAAAACAGAAAAAAAACAAAAACAAAACTTAGACCTTTTTTTTTTTTTGGGGGGGGGGTTATTATTGGGCTTGAACCTAGGGCCTCTGCTTAACCCACAAGCAAACATTCCACTGAACTGAATCCCTAGCAAAAACATTTTAGAAACTTGACCACTCACTGTAATCTTAGCTGATATTTTGTTGTATGTCAATATTTTTTATTTTTGCTGCTTACAAATTAGCCTGTACATTCTAATATCTATCTATCTATCTATCTATCTATCTATCTATCTATCTATCTATCTATCTATCTAAATATGTTTTGGGCATTAATATTTTAAAAGTCTTGACATTTTTAGCAGTGCTCTCTGGAGAGGCTTCAGTGGGACCCACAGTTGTGAAGGACTTTGTTTACCTTCTGTTTTTGCTAATTTTAGCAAGTGAAGGCATATTTTATGTATATTTAGCAGCAGGTAAGGCTGACACATTAACATTTATTAGCTATTAAGTCTTTATATTCTTGACCCCCACAGGTGAGAAATGTAGCTACATTTCTTTTTTCCTTTGTGATTTGGCATACAAAAATGAACTCTTGTCTTTATATTGTTTGTTAGAATGGATAATTTCTGTTGTGCCCTTGACCCTCTTAGTATCTTTCAGAAGTTTTATGGGTAGGTATACATGATCCTCCTTGATTTTGTTCTTTTGCTTTTAATACTCCTGTTTGTGTTGCTCTGGATCAAACTAGGGCCTCTCATGCTACACCCCTACCTCTTAAGCTTGAGTTTGTCATACTGAATTAAGTCCTGGACCAGTTTAGTGTGTATCAGTGATTGGTGGAAGTTTACCTTTGCTTTAATTTTTTAAACTGTGTGTACGACTTGAAAGCTCACATTTATGCCATGTACACTTAGGTGACTTTAATTCAGAAAAAGTGACACTCATTTCTCATTTTCTGTCCTCAAATAATTCCAGAGCTCTTCAAATTCAGGAACATCTACAATGATGATAAATAAAATGTAGAATTTTATTCAGATTCCTGAAAGGAAAATCTAGTAAGTAATCCAAATTTAAAAATAAAAAGTGGGCTGGAGAGAGGAGTCAGTGGCTGAGAGCACTAGCTGCTCCTCCGAAGAACCTGGGTTCAGTTCCCAGTGCTCTTGTGGCAGCTTACAACTGTCTGTAACTCCAGTTCCAGGGGATCTGATGACTTCTAGCCTCCATGAGCACCAGACATGCACATGGTACTCAGGTATATATACAGGTAAAATACCTGTACACATAACAAATTGAAAAAAACATTTTTTTTAAGTTACCAAAACAAAAACAAAATACCCACAACCAACCCAACACTGGATCAAACTAAATATACCTGGGGTCAGTTTGTGACCATCTCGTTAGTTGGACAGAAATAAGATCAGAATGTAAGAGTGCGTAGAGCTTATTACTTCCTGGTCCTGCCACTGTATGCATTATCTGAAAAAGGTAATCCCAAACCAGCACTTGGGAGGCTGTAGGAGGAGGATCATAACATACCACTGCATAGGAAGTTAAGCAGCATGCCTGGGCTACACAGACCCTGTCTCAAAAAAAAAAAAGGTATGGATAGTGTGCACTGAGCAGTATTCCATTGTGGGTGTGTAAAACACAAGAGTTCTCAGTGTCTGACTTGCCCAGGTAAGCTGGTTACATCATTTACCAAAAGAAACTCCTATTTTTCAAGCTGGCATTACCCAAACAAAAGTGAGCTTTCATACAAAGCACTATAGTATATCTGAAGTGAATTATTATTGAAAACAAATTTTTCCTAGAATTAAAATCCTTTTGATACCTCTTTTATGAAGCCAGGTCTTGAAGTGCAGCTCTGCAGCATTGGCTAGCTTGGAACTTGCTCCGTAAGACCTTGGATTCTCAGCATTTGGCGGGGATTAAAACCATGCCCAGCTCATTTGTTGTTTTTAATAAAGAATAATTTTCACTGTAAGGAGAAGTACTTTAGCGTTGGATCTTAACCATCAAATCAGAGACTGAATAAGCCTACTTCTCTTGTCTGAAGGAGCTGCTAGGGGTTTCCCAGGGAGGGCCTCATACCTTTGGGTCTGAGTAATGTGATGAACATATTATTTCATTAAACAAAACTAGTGAATAATCCTAGCTGCATTTTGTATTTGGAAGAATTGTCAAAATTAATACTTTTGTGTGACTGTCAAGACTCTTACTAATAGTGTGGTTTACTTCATGTAATTTTCATAGGGGAAGACACTAAGTGCTTTTGTCCTCTGCAGGTGACGACCTGATTTGCGTTGGTTTTGGTGGGGGAGATGTGTCTTGACATGAAGCATCCTCCAAAATGGCTGGTGTCAAAGGCTTGACCCCGATGATGGTATTGAAAAGTGGGTCACTGATAACTACATCAGTGGATATGTTGATGGCTGAATAGATTGTTTGGGGAGGGCTAGTTGGAGGAAGTTATGTCACTGGGGAATATATTTTGGAAAGATGCATCTTGTCTTTAGATCTTCCTCTCTGGCTCTTCTGCTTCCAGCTGCCATGAGGTGAACAGCTTTATTCTGGCATGCCTTTCCTTCCCACCATGGTGTTCTCCTTCAACGCAAGCCCACAGCGATAGGGCGGGCAGCTCAGCTGTGGATGGCAACCTGAAACCATAAGCCCAAAGAAGTCTTTTTCTCAGGTTATTCTGTTACAGCAATGAAAAGTGACTGTTCCTTCATCTAGTATTGGAAATGAATGGTAGACATCACTAACCACCGTGCCCAGATGGGAATCGATGTACTCGGTGACTGCCTCTGACTTGGGAGTTGGTGCTGTAAATGAGACCCTTGTGTCCCCACTTTTATGAAGAGGGTATGTGGTATGGCCACAAGTTGGTTTGTATTTTAGAGATTGAAGCCATAGCCTCTCCAGTGCTAAGCAAGCATTCTACTGTATTATACCTCTAGTCCAGAATACAAATTTTAATTGCTATCAGGGAAGAGGAAAGAAAATAATGTTTTAGTATATACACTGACCTGGTGTTTTTTTAAAGATTCATGTATGTTTTATATCATTTATAATCTGGTATCTTACTTATAGTCACTGATTTACCAATTGCTATTAAATATTTTAGGAACAACTAAAACAGAAGGTATTTGCCCCTAAATTTGCATATAGATTATTATGTGACTCAGGACCTCAGAGTCTTATTTTGTAGTACATAGAAAAATCCAGAGGAATGATAAATGGGCAGAACCAATTGAAACTGTCCTATAAAGCTGATAACCAAGGTACTTACAGCTTTGTTCGACTTTGATACCTGAAAACTTATGTGCATGTGAGAATTCCAAATGGTATGGCCAAGGTAGAAAAGCTGGAGCTGGGGCTGGAGTTGGGGCTGAGGTGTTGTTTAGTATTTAGTCCCTAGTACATGTACACACATACATACGCATGCAGAGCCAGAAAGTTGGACAGACTATCTCAGTTGTTTGTGGCTAGTAAAGGACAAAAGCATTTCTCACAGATCTGGAGGCGGAAGTTGGAGGTCAGGGTTGGTGAGTTGAATGGTGGGGGCCGAATGCCCCTACGTGTAAGATGTCGCCTCAGTGCTAACCTGGTAGAGAAGTATGCCCATACAAAGTAACTAGCTAGTTTTCTTGAGCCCTTTCCTAGTGAGAGTGGAACACATGCATTTTGGGAAGGCATTCTGATCAGAGCACCACCACAAAAGTTCTACTTCTGCGCACACATCCCAAAATAATTAGAAAAGCAGGGATTTGTACCTTCCTGTTCATAGCCAACAGTCACAAAACAGTAGAGGAATGGATGAACAAAAGGTGCCATATGTGTACAGTGGCTTGTTCAGCCATAAAAAGCATGATACATGATATAGGGATAAACTTGACCACTTGGTAAGATGTCAGACAAGGAAAACAACAACAACAACAACAAACGAAAAACCTTCAAAGCCTTTAGAATAAGGAAAATGGAAGAAGAGTGGTTACCAGGTCTGCAATTGGGGGAATGAGTTCAGTTGTTTGTGCTGAAAAAAATCATGGACAGTGGGAACACTGAATGCCACAGAGGTCCCTGAATAAAATACTTGTAAGTGGTTACAGTGGTGAATTTTATGCACATTTTCTCAGATCAAAAACTCCTCCTTAGCAAACCAAAAACAGTGTTAGAAAAACCAAAAACATACTGTTAAATCCCAAATGGCTCCTTTCAAAAGGAAAGATGGGCTGGAGAGCCAGCTCTCCAGTTGAGAATGCTCACTGTTCTTGCTGAAGACCTAAATTCAGTTTCCAGCACCCACACCAGGCAGCTCACAGCCACTTGTAACTCCAGCTGCAGCTGCAGGGGATCTGAGTCCCTCTTTTGGCCTCTTCAGTACCTATATGCGCGCGCGCGTGCGCGCGCACGCACACACACACACACACACGCACACACAGATGGGCACAAATCTTTTTAAAAAAAGAAATACATACTTCAAACAGCACAGAAGATGGCCTGTGAAGTGTCCTGTGCAGGTCACTGCTGATGTCTAGGACCCAGAGAAGCTGGAGCTTTAACATGTTCTGTCAACACCTCAGGCAGGTATGAGGCAGAGCTCGATGTTCCTTCATTCCTTGTGTAAGATTACAGAGGTTGGTACCTCATCAAGTGCTGTGAGTGCCCCAAGTAGTCCTGGTTTGGCATTTCCTCCAGAGATTTTTAATTAGCAGGCCTGAGCAGGGTTTCAGGTAACTTGTATACCCCATTCTCATCCAGGAAGTATCAAAAGTATCTTTATAATAGCTCTTACATTTTGTAATGTAAGATTCTGACTCCAGAATTAAAATTGCATTGTTTACATTGCATTCTGTTGAATCAGCAATAATACTATTATTTCACACATGAACATGTATGAAACGGATCCAGAAAGCTAGTAAGTACAAGGGGCCTTTATCTTGGTGCCTTGGGCTGAGCCATAGGAGAGGACAGTCATGGGAAGTTGATGTACTTGGGATTTGGCATAAACAAATGATTCCAAGTTTAGGGATCATCCCAGAACACAGCTGCTCCCTTGGGCCTGTAGTTTTTTTGAGTTACAGGAACCCGAAGCCCTTGTGTTCCTGTAATGACTGCCAATACATGCCTCAGCTTAAGACCTGTACTGTCATGTGTGGGCCTCATCCTAGACTCTTAACAAGAACAGTTGCCTAGAGTTTTGTCTTTGCTAGATTTCCTTCTAAGTGATTGGTTACAGGATCCAGTAAAGTGTATATGGGTCTCCAGAGTTAAAAGTATATGTCAACTGTTACTTATTCTGAGATAGGGTCTCCCTGTGTAGTCCTGGCTGTCCTGAAACTTGGTGTGTAGACCAGGCTGGCTTTAAACGTCAAGAGATCCACCTGCCTCTGCCTCTGCCTCCTGAGTGCATGTGCTACCACACTTGACTCACCCAGTTATCAAGCACATCAGACACATCGGAGGGATTCCTAAATCTCTACTCCACATCTCTGAGTTGGATTCAGGTCTGTAGTAGGCCTGATAGTTGACATTTCTAGCAAGTTTTTTTGTTCTGGGACCACAGAGAACCTCTGTTGTGTATCTTTTCCAGGGACACCAATCCCACTGAAGACCACACTTCAAGTTTTAATTCTTTATTAAACTAACATTGCTGTAATAAACATCAACAGCTACTTGAACAGACCCATTGCTATTTTGATTATGTCCACAAATTAGAGATATTTTGCTTACTCTTACTGGTGCCTAAAACCAGCCTTACCAGGACCTCCTGGCACCTCATAATTGAAATTCCAGCTGAAGTTGGGGCTTAAAGTTTGCTGTCAATGAGACCAGGTCTGGTCTTGACAGTAAAGCCACCATCAAAAGCTGCATTTAGAACTTCATCCAGGCAGCTTGCTGTGACAAAACTTAGATCCTGTCTGACGTTGCTTGGGATTTCTTCAAGGTCTTTCTCATTCCTCTTGGGAATTATGACATGTTTCAGCCCTGCTCGGTGTGCTGCGAGTACCTTGTCTTTAATTCCCCCCACCTGTTAGTGAGAGAAGACAGCTGTCAGGGGTTATTGTCTGCCAAGGGGATCTCCTTTTCACTGAACTATCACTGGCTTAGATATTCAGCCCACCTCCCATTTGTTAATAGTATGAGTTGGGATGCCACTAAAAGGCTTAATGGTAGCCTATTTTAATGTTTGTGTTACTTCCATATTAAATATTTTTAATGAGAGAAAATCTGAAATTATGATGGCTGTGGATACCTTTAAAAAATACATATATATGTCATTGCAACCTTGTATTTCGGTTGATTCCGTGGCAGCATTACATTAGCTTTGTTATACTATTCTTAGCTAGAAGAAAGGATTTTGGAGATTTTCGCCATAAAGAAATGACAAATGGAGGAAATAAATATGTTGATTTAAATGTTATATAATGTGACCTGTATCTTAATATATACAATTTTGTTTTTATAAAATAAAGTTTTAAAAGTTAAATGAACAAACAGAACTGGTCTTACAGAAGAAGCTCAATTGCGTTATGAGATCATTGCCTTCATTACCACAAAGCAAAGACCTTTGTGCCACTTAAAAATGAGAACACTCCAAACTAGCTCTGGTGGTTTTTTGTTGTTTTGTGACAAAATCACTGTAGATTACCCTGGCCTTTACTCATAGAGATCTGTCTGCTACCGTTTCCTGCTCCCAAGTGCTGGGATTAAAGGCATGTGACACCAGGGCTGGCCCCTCTTGTGATCTAAAAACAAACAGAAAGCTATGCCCCCGATGGTTCCTTCACAAACGATGGGGTCTGATTCCCTTTCCCTCCAATGTGAACCTGGCTTTGTAACCTGTCTGTAAGAAGCATATGGAAGTGATGCTATGTGAGTTTCAACACTAAGGCATAAAAAGAAAGCTCCTGCCTGATTGTTACCTTGGACCACTTGCCCTAGAGGTATCGAGGTATCATGTTTGAAGTTACCTACACAGACTGGGAAAACCCGCAAGTGAGGACTTGGGCCTCCTATGCATCACACAGAAGCAGGTCCCCCGTTGAGTCACCCAGGTGACTGTGGCCTGCAGTCAAGACCCTGAACCAGAAAAGGGCTAAGTTTCCCGGGCCTTCCCACATGGGCTCCAGCCTAACTGGCTAGCTTCCTTCTTACACAGCTGTCACCCTGCCCCAGACTGCACTTTTCTGGAGTGCTGCCTTCAGAGAAAATTCTGAGACAGACTGCTTCCTTCCAGTGTGAAATGTTTGTTTTTACACTCACACTTGATTGACACAGACACGATATATAATCCTGTTACACTGTATATCCACTGTTACTCAGTGAGCTGATATATAATCCTGTTACACTGTATATCCACTGTTACTCAGTGAGCTGATATATAATCCTGTTACACTGTATATCCACTGTTACTCAGTGAGCTGAGAACTCCTGAGAACATCTTGGCTGCTTGGTGTAGTCTTTCCACTCCAGGACATGCTCTGTTATTTCTTTGGTTATTTGTTCTAGTCCGTCTTCCTGTTTGCTCTAATTCCTGTCAGATGTTGGACATGTCAGACTGATTATACTGTATATTATTTTCCTAGTCATTCTTTAACCACACTCCACCCATAAGATTCCCTTTTATTTCAGCCTCAGCAATTTTTTTAAAAGTTCTACCACTTTTCTTCATACTTGCATGGTTGAATGAAAATCTGGGGGTACAATAGTTTCAGTGGTTTTCCAATATTAGGAATTGAGCTGAGTCTTACATGCAAGGCTAAGAAAGTCCTCTGCTAACTGAGGCCTATCTCTGGCTCCTTTTTACTTTGAGGCAGGGTCTCACTAAGTTGCTCATGCTGCTTCAATCTTCCTGAGTTGCTGGGGTTTTAGGTGTGTGTGCCTGGCCCCTTTAGTGTTCTTAACTGGCAATTCTATAATCTACTTTCATTCATATTTTGCAGAGTAAAGAACATTAGCTCTTTTCTTTTTTCCTATGGATCTGTCAATCTTTTGTTTTTGGTTTTTGTTTTGTTTTTGGAGACAGGGTTTCTCTGTGTAACAGCCCTGGCTGTCCTGGAACTCACTTTAATTCAGTTTCCATTTCTATGCTGCTAGTTTTGCTATAAATCTTGCCAATTACAGTAACCTAAGATTTCTACAAGGTTCTAGAATGTCTCAAACAAACTTCAAGAAGTGTGGGTTGAGCTTAAAAGCAACCATCTGACTTTATGTACATGCAAGGCACTTTAACTGCTAAGTAGAGAGACTGCAGACCTTGATCTTCCTATCAACCACACTAATAAATCTTTTTAGATGACAAGGGAACATGGAGAGAGTCAGGTTTTCTTTTGCTTGACCCAAAGTTTAAAATATAAATTAGTTACAGATTACATTTTTAATGTCTATTTTAAACCAAAGTTTTTACAAAAATAAGGCAAACTACTATTCATGTAAATTTAAAAATATTAATTTGAGTAAAAATGACAAGCACATGAATGTTTTCTATACTTACTGGGAGAACAAGCCCTCTCAGAGTAATTTCCCCAGTCATGGCTACATCTGAACGCACCAGCCGCCCACTGAAAAGTGAGGCGAGACAAGTTACTATGGTAACACCAGCAGATGGTCCATCTTTTGTGACAGCTCCAGCTGGGAAGTGCAGATGGATGTCTGTGTTGTCAAGAAGATCAAAACTTCCAAAAGCTTTAAAAGGGGGGAAAAAAAGGGGTTTTAATGTAGAAAAATTAAACACTTTTTTTTCTCTGAATAAAACCAAACACAAAAATGGATGTTTTGTATAAATGGATCCTTCAAAAAATATTAGTGGATAGTGTACTTAGAGTGAGGTCTGGACAGAAAGATTCATTCTAAGTATGATTTAAAACAAACCTTTGCTCTTGTTTCTAGTTCAGGCACTAAGCCAGATAGCTCTAACATGATCACTAGTCTCTGTAGGCATTCAGAAGCCAAGCCCTAGACTTTACTGAATGGGTCACCTTTGTCACACACTCTAAGATGCTTCCTGGATCATGATCCTAGCGCCCTCCTTCCCAGCTGGGTCCCCACAGCCACTAGGCCATGTACCATTAGTCAGGTGGTATTTCTTTGCATTGCTTCGAAG